GGGGGGGGGAGTGCGGCTTGGCCATCCCCCCGGGAGATGATTTCTCACCTCCTCCCTCTCTCCTCTCTCCAGAGAGAGCACGTGACCTATAACCCTAAGACAGAGACCTAGAAAAAGGAGCGCCAGGTTCCAGGCCAGAGGTGCTGTCCCCACCAGGTCGGGCCTGCCTCCGGGCTCTGGGCCAGGTAGTGGCTGCTACAAGTTAATCTGGGTCTTGGGCTTTCTAGAGACTGAGGCTGTGTGGGAACGTGGCCGGGAGTTTACACATTTGCTGGGAAGAGAGTGCACAGCTTTCTTCAAAGTCCCCAAGTCCCTAACTCTCCACCCCCCACCTCTCCGCACACACAACCCCACCCCTGCCCAAGGCTAAGGATTTCCAGAACCCCATCTCCAACTCCACCTCCCCCGTAGTCCCAGCCCACCACACGCGCTGGCAGGAGCCCCCACAGGAGAGACCCCCAGCCCTGGGTCGGCCATGTCAGGGTGCAGCACTGTAGCCCCCTCGCCCCGGAGAGCCCCGACCCACCTGATGGGTGCAGGGAGGGGCGGCCCGGGCCCCGGGGGGCGGCCGCGCAGCGTGTCCTGCCCCTGGTCGCGACCCAGCTCCTGGAACAGGCAGCCGAGGCCAGTGATGGCGCCCTCCTGGACGGCGAGGGACGGGTGGCGCCGGGCCTCCTCCCGGGCGCGCTGGGCTTGGCGGCTCCTCTCCTCGTCAGCCCTCTTGGACCTGCACACTGCAAAGGGCCAGCGTGGGCGAGTGTGCTCTGACAGGCCAAGGCCCTGCGCCCACCCCAGCCCCAACGCCGGTGCCCAGCGGGAGCAGCAAGGCCCGCGGGGGCAAGCCCACCCTCCAGGAAAGACACGGGACAGGCTGCTCTGGGACCCGGTCCAGAGTGGCCGAGCAGCCTTTGGGGACATTTTTCAAGTCTACACGCACCTCCCGGGAGGGCCTGCTCCGAGCAGCTGCCGGGGACCCCCACGGGGGTGGGGTCTCAGGGAGAACACAAACAGGACATATTTAACAAACGGAAGAAGGAAAACAATCTGACGACAAGGTATATGGTAACGTCGTACATTGCACACGTATGGTAAGGACTACTACGGGTTGTATCCACGCGGGGAAGGTACGTTATACACTGCAAAGGTGTACACTGATTAAAGGTAAATTTAAAACGAAAATAATAAAAACTCTAACGAGTGTGCAGGATTTCACTATAATTTAGAAATGTGAAAATTTGCCTTTGTTACATAATTTAAGGAGTTACGTTAATATAATCTGACCGGACAGGACGGAAGAACACGCAACATCACTTCCACGGTAGCATTGCTACAAATATTCGGACCAATCTAATCATGAAACACTGTACCAGCTGAAACTGTGCTACTCTACAAAGGAACATGTCACGGCTCTTCAAAGCGTGGTCCTCAGAGAAGAGGGGAGACCTATCCCAGTCAGAGCCCCGGGCGCTGTGGCCACGTGTGAGGTGCAGCCCCGGGTTCACACCAGAGCTTCTCCCTATCAAAAGCCAAATAAGAACTGAAGGCCGCCTGTCCAACCTCTTCTAGTTACTTGTGGGGAAGTGGAGGCCCAGGGCAGGGCAGTGGCGGGCCCGGCTGGGTCAGTGGCCCACGCCAGGAACTGTCCTTTCTGCTACCCCCTTGTGAGCCAGTGGGAACGGTGGGCCCTTCCTTTGGGGTTTCCTGTGACCTCGAGAGCTGGCGAGTGCCTGGGAGGGAGGAGGAAGCCGACGGCTCTTGCTGCACAGAGAGGCTCCCGGACACCCTCTCTGGCCTTCTGCCTTTCAGTGCTCCTAGAGGCAGGGTTCTGTCTCAACCAAGTGGCCTGGAAGGACAGCCGTGTGACTTCTAAGGCTCAGAAGGGCAGTGTAGGGCTGGGAAATGCGGAGGGACACAGCTTGCCAGACGTCAGCTTTCCCTGAAACAAGTTATTCCGAGGTGTGATTGCGCCGTCAGTCCCATCTGCGTACCCAGTCCAGCCTTTTAGGGAATTCGGAGAGCCAGCCTCGATCTCCCGATGGCGTGAGACCGGCACTCACCCAGGCCCCGGCAAGCCCTCTCTCCTCCTGAGGCAAAACCCTTTCTACTCCAGCGAGGTTCGACACGCGTGGAGCAGACACCTCTACGGGCATGAACCTGTCCTGGGGGCTTCAGGGGCAAGGTCTGGGGGAAAGCTGTCCAAGAGCCTTCCTGGCCACACCACCCCCAGTTGCGGACGGCGGGCCAGTCTGTCCCTCTGGGGGTGTGTGTGGAAGTCCCTGAGTGGACGCTGTGCGGACTACCCTGGGCCTGCGCGCCGCAAGGCAGGGGGCATCTCTCCGGGCCGTCCATTCCTGTGCTCCAGGCCCTGGGTGGAGCAAGCTGATGCCCAGGCTATGGCCTCCATGGGACCATGATGGCAGCTTGGGTACAGGCTTGCGGGGCAAACACGTGAGCCGAAAGGCCATGTACACGACCACGACTGGGGCAGAGGAGCAGCAGCCAGCTCCCCGAGTACTCGCACTACTCCCCAGTACCCATGCTGCTCCCCAGTACCCACGCTGCTCCCCGAGTACTCACACTACTCCCCAGTACCCACGTTGCTCCCCAGTACCGACGCTGCTCCCCGAGTGCTCACATTGTTCCTCAGTACCCACACTGCTCCCCGAGTACTCACGTTGTTCCTCAGTATTTGCGCTGCTCCCAGAGTACTCACATTGTTCCTCAGAACCTGCGCTGCTCCCCGAGTACCCACACTGCTCCCTAGTACCCACATTGCTCCCCAGTACCCACACTGCTCCCCAAGTACCCATGCTGCTCCCCAAGTACTCATGCTGCTCCCCAGTACCCACGCTGCTCTCCGAGTACTCACGTTGTTCCTCAGTACCCACGCTGTTCCCCGAGTACCCACACCGCTCCCCGAGTACCCACACTGCTCCCCAGTACTCACACTGCTCCTCCCACTCGTGCTGCTCCTGCTCGCCAGCCTGGCCGTGCAGCTGGGCCTGCCGCAGGGTCCAGTAGAGCTCCTGTGCCCTCTGCTCCTCCCGGAGGCGAACTCGCTCCTGCCCTCGCTCCCGCTCCTCCTGCTCCCTCCTCTGGAAAGGCACAAGGACAGAGGCCCTGGGTGACGCACACCTCAGCCAGGAGTGCCTCCGCTTCCACTGCAGGCCGGGCTGGCTGCCACGGCTGCCCAGACAGAGGTTCCGGACGGGACGGCAGGG